GAGGCACTGCTGTCTGGCTTCAAGCTGTTTCCATTCAAGCTGAATCCCTCATGGGACAGACTTGGGGCACAGGCAGGGGGCGGGAGGAGGTAGTTGTGAGATTGGTCTAGAAGGAAGCACCCAAGACAGACTGGTCAATACCAAACAAGTCTCCCAGATGTGTTTGCTGAAAGATTTTCAAGGGGTGTGGTCACATCCTGATTTACTTTCTCATGGAGGACATAATATCAGGCACAAATGGTGTTTAATCAATATCATGACCTGATACTCCTAATGCCATAACACACTCAGGAGTGAACTTAGCAATGCACATTTATTTTCCAGACACAGAAATCTGAGCATAAATAGTGCCTGGATGGAAAGACTCAGGAATTTTGCCTCATGCTGATATCTGCGTTATAGGTAATATTGAAACTAGTACTGATTGTGCAGGTTGCAATGGCATCACTGGCTTGCAGCACACACATTCCATAAGCACACTTCAATTCTATCTCCCTTGCATTCATAGAAGATGATTACTACCAGCATTCCAACATGGTGTATACCAGTTCCATGCTAGCAGGTATATTACATTATGCTTGCTTAAATTGAAAACCAGTCTTTAGTGAATCACTCAAAGAACTGTTCTTTATAGAGCAAGGTGCTAGAAATAAAGTAGCAGGCAATGGTCCTGGTACATACTTCAAGGGCTGTCAAGACCTGTGGAATTAGAGTAGAATAACATTTCTATGGTGGTGAGCATTGCACCAAGCTGGCCAAACTGAACTGCATTTCCCAGAATTCCCTTTCCCATCATGCAGCATTTAGGTTAGAGAAATCTCATGGGTTTTAGAGGCATACATAACGCCACAGCCTGACAGGTGTGTGGATACCGGATACAGCTGCAGCTTGCATGCAACCACCTCTATCACCATGTTAGAGTGGGGCAGTGACTGTTTGATGCTACGTCAGACCCTGCCTCATCTCCCATGGTTTCTCCCAGTCTTGCTCCTTCTGCAGGTTACCTGCCATGATGTCGGAGGCAGTGTGGGACCACCTTGGAAAGAGCAGGAGGAAGTGGAGAAGGCAGAGAAGCCCTCAGACAGACTGCTTGACTTGGGTGCCAGTCTGCCCTCGTTCCCCCTCACTTCATGCCAGTTATTCTTCTCAGCTGTCAACTCTGCTGATCTACAGTGACTTTGGGTCATGCAAGATTCCAGGTGATGGCCTCACAGAGATGTAAGCAGCCTGTGTGCCTGTGTGAGGTCTAATTCTGATAATAAATAGCTAATTATCTCTCAGGGTGGATCTGCTCCTGACAAAACTTTGAGCACTAAGAGATCACTTACCTCCATTTTATAAGCAAAAAGGCTTTGAGGACAGTCTAGAATTTATTAGCTGTCAAGGAAGAGTTGTTCTGAGTGTTTGGTCATGTAAGTGTTATCAGCGCTTGCAAATCCAAGCAATAGACACATGCCAGCTCACGTATGAACTGAGGTATCCCCTTTGGCAAGAACCAACAACCCAATTCCTAAACACCAGTTCAAACCTCCTCTGCTGTCCCACCTCAATCCTACTTTCCTTTCCTAAACTGTGGAAAGTCCCCTACATACAAACCTTCTAGTTACAAACATCCAAAGATACAAATGTGCATTTGCATGTCCAACCACATAAGTTAGTTCATGTGTCTGGCATGTACATTGTTGTTTTCTTTATTTTTTATGGTTGTTTTCTTTATTTTTCTTTCTTTCTTTGTTTTTTATGTATTATGTGTGTGAAAGTATTATAAAGGTATTACAGTACAGTACATACAGTCAATTGTGCTAGTTGGGTACCAAGGCTAACTTTGTTGGACTTATTTACAAACGAATTTTCAGAAAGAAACTTGTTTATATATGGAGGACTTTTACGAGGAAAGGCTTAATGGGGCCACATTCAAAGAAGAAACGCTGGGTTTAGGACTGCCACAGCATAGTAGCATGCTCGGAGTCACGACATCCTCTGCACCATCAACCCTGAAGATGGTTGCAGAGACCCAATATTCATACGAAGCTTTTCCACTTATGGTAACAGGCATGAATGTGAAGAGTCTCTTTCAGGAGAAATTATGATGATATGAGTATTTAAAATTCAGGGTTTGTTTGCACTGAACTGCCTCCTAGCAAGAGACAACTACCTGCAAGGGAATTTTTTCCCAGCAAACCTGCAGAAGGAGCTGGTTACTCAGAGAAGCAACAGACATTTTTCTCAAATGTAAAGGTGAATCCCTCGCAGGGCTGGCTAGACTCTAACATACTAGAGACACATGGAGAATGCAGACTGGTGGCTGGTGGAACTGGAGTTTTCAGAATTGCAGCCTTTGCAGCTAGTTGAGCTAACAGAGGTGGAGGTCATTTGAGAACTGTTCCAGAGCACTGACATCACCTGTTTTTGTGTCTTTCTCTCCCTCTAAACTATACCCTTCTTAGGGCAGGAACCATGGGTCTCATTTTTATTTGTAGCTTCATCAGCAAGCACAGTGCCTGACATATAGGAGGTACGTATTAAATTCTTTTAAACCAAAAACACCTGGTTCTTGTTAAAGAGGAAACGTGTGTGTGTGTGTGTGTGTTTTAGTCAGAGGTGTTATTCTGTAGCCCAGGCTGGAGTGCAGTGGCATGATCACAGCTCACCAGAGTCTCAACCACCTGGGCTCAGGCAATCCTTCCACCTCAGTCTCCTTAGTAGCTGGAAAGGACTATAGGTATGTACCATCATGCCTGGCTAATTTTTGTATTTTTTGTTGAGATGAGGTCTTGCACTCCTGAGCTCAAGCAATCCTCCTGCCTCAACCTTCCAAAGTACTGAGATTACAGGCGTGAGCCATCACGCCCAACCCGTGTGTGTGTGCGCATGTGTGTGTGCATGTGTGTGCGCATGCACGTGTGTGTGTATTTAAGAGACATTTTTTAAATTTACCAAAGACCAAGCCATCTTAAAGGACCAGGAAACACACTTCATGAAGGTCTGGCTACATGAAGCTGGCCACGCTAGCTCAGTCCACCCCGGCATCCTATTCCCAAATAAAACAGAACTGGAACATGGGGCCATAAGAAGATTCTAAATTCCCTGGGGTCTGAGCCAGGAAATTTAGGATTATTTACCTGCCTCATTCCGTGTGGGCTACTGGGAGAAGTAATAAAGAAATCCCATTTTAAAAACTACTCAAATCACAAAGCACAGCAAGGAAGACCAGGAGTACCAAGCAAACTGTTACCAACCAGGTATATGTGGAAATTTCCAGTGAATCACCAAAGAGGAGATGCTGACACCAGTGACAGCCACAGACACCTGTGACCTCAGGCTATTAATTCCAGGCAATGCCTTTTGCTCCCAGTAGCAGGAGACAGTCTACTTGGTGAGATAGTTTGGGTGTTGTTCCCTCAAATCTCATGCTGAAATGTGGTCCCCATGTTGGAAGTGGGGCCTGATGGAAGGTGACTGGGTCACGGGGCAGATCCCTCAAGAATAGCTTGGTGCCTTCCCCGTAGTCCAGAATAAGTTCTTGCTCTGTTTGTTCCCCCAAGAGTTGGGTGTTTAAAAGAGACTGACACCTTCTCTCTCTCTCTCTGGTTCCCTCTCACACTTTGTGGCACACCTGTTCCCCTTGCCCTTCCCCCATGACTGTAGCTTCCTGAGCCCTCATCAAAAGTAAATGCCGGTGACATGCAGAACCATGAGCCAAATAAGTCTCCTGCCTTTATCAATTGTCAAGCCTCAGGTGCTCCTTTATAGCAATGCAAAATGGTCACATACACTTGGTAAACTCAGTGATGGAGCCCAGTCATCCAACAACAAGTGCATACAGGGCTAGGCCCTCTTGTCTCCCTGGACAGCAGACATCTCCTTCACCAGGGTCCCTGCCAACCCCATCCTGCTGGTCTTCTCATCCTTTACCCTTTTTTCCAAATCAGCTGTAAGCATGGCTTCCATGACCATCCTCCCGGGCCCAGTTCTAGACCTGTATGTATCATGGTCTAGACCTGTATCACAGATACTCTATCAGCCATCTCTCCCTGAATTCCTAGTACTCAACAACAAATTATCTCTTGAGTACCTAGAATGCCCCAGGCACAGGATATATCAAGGCACAAAGCATAGGCACCTGCCCTCACGCCTGCCCTCCCGGGACGTGCTTGTCAAACACTGTGTGCCCAGATGGACCAATGGCCCCTTCTCGCCACCCTGGGCCTTGGCAAGTACAGCATCACAGTTCACCCACAGCTCTCCCCCACCCCCAGATCTCACATCCTGCCAGGTTTCCTCCTTCAGTTCTCAGTCCTTGACTGCACTCCACGCCCCTACCAGGCCCCTTTCAGCCTCACCTGCTGACTTTTCTCCCATTCTAACCTATCCCCATGCTGCCACCACAGTGGTCTTTCTGGAACACAGATCTAAGCATATCAGTCCACTGCTGTGACCATGCTCACTTCCCAGGGGATACCAGGCCCTCTGCCATCTGGCCCAGCCTCCACCATCACACTTACCTTCCACTCCTGCCCAAGTTCCAGCTTCGCCTAACAGATCCCCCCATCCACTCACCTCCTGACTCTGGTCCTCTGGGTATGAGCCCTGAGTCCTTCCTCCTCCTCCTGGCCTGCTAGATCCCCACTCATTCTCTAAGGACCAGCTCCACAGACATCTCTTTTTGGAAGACATCCTCTATTCAAGCAGGCCTCCATTGCTGCCTCCTCCAATTCAATGATGATTGCACTTACCTGCTTCCTGTTTTTCCTCCCCTCCAGATGAGTGTTCCCCAAAGTCAAGAACAGTGCTATCCATCCAGTGCTACCCACCCGGATGCTCCACCCAGAACCACATCTGGCATGCAGGGGTTGTTCAAATGCACAACTGCTCATGTTTGGAAACCCTCTGAATTAGAGATAAAAGCCTCTTGCCCCCAGGGAGGATCCTGAGTGCACCTGTGAGCACTCTTCGTGTTCCAGGACAGAAGTGTTAAAGTAGAGAAGGTAGCCACTCACTTCACTCCTGGAGGCCACAGCCCGATGCAGGGGGGTCAGCCACATGTTGTCCTTGGCATTCACACGAGCCCCTGGAACAACAGGACAAGTTAGTGGCAGCACAGGGTCAAAGAGTCCTGCTGACCTGAAATCAGACACTTCTCTTGCTCCCTGGCCTACGGTCATTCCAACTTTCTCTTCTCTATGATAGGCAGGTTCTGACCTGGCCTGGTCTGGGCAGGAGGACAAGCAGAATCTGTTTCATCTAAAGGTCTGGGACTCACCAGACATCTCCGTAAGAAGAAGCAGCTTCCTGGTTCTTTGAAAGGATAAACAAGATTGATGGAGTCCTAGTTTGACTGACCAAGAAAAAGAGAGAAAAAGTCCAAATAAACACAATCAGAAAGCAAAAGATCAAATCACAACTGACCCCGAAAAAATACAAAAGATTATCAGAGACTACTATGTACACTTGTATGGAAACAAACTTGAAAACCTAAAGGAAATGGAGAATTTTCTGATATCACACAACCTCCCCAGGTTGAGACAAGAAGAAATTGAGATCCTAAATAGACCAATAACAATCCAGGAAATTGACTATGTCATAAGAAAACTACCTACAGACTGGATAAAAAAATGTGGTACATATATATGATGAAATATTATGCAGCCATAAAGAAGAACAAAATCATGAACTTCACAGCAACCTGGATGAACTTAGAGTCTATAATACTGGGTGATCTTTCACAGAAACAAAGAACTGAGTATCACATGTTCTTACTTATAAGCAGACCTTGAACAATTATCATAATACTGTTAGAAAAAGATTGGCAGTAGCAGGAAACTGCCGGGAGGTGGGTGGGAGGTGGGATTGGCAGTAGTGGGAATCTACCTGGGGAAGGGGGAGCACACCTCATCAACAAGGGTACCTGCATAATGAACAGTTGTATACCTAACCCTGAATTGTACCCCACATCTTTAAAAGGAAAAATAAAATTAAAAGAAAAAAAAACTACCTACAAAAAAAAAAAAGGCCTGGACCAGATAGCTTTCAAGCAGAATTCTACAAAACATACAAGGAGGAATTGATACCAATCCTACTGAAAGTATTCCAGGCAATTGAGAAAGATAGAACTCTCCCCAACTCATTTTATGAAGCTAATATACATTGATACCCAAACCCAAACCAGCAAATAAAGATAACTACAGGCCAACATCCATGATGAACATAGATGCTAAAATTCTCAACAATCCTAGCAAACCGGATCCAAAAGCACATCTCAAAAATCATCCACCACAGCCAAGTAGGCTTCATTCCCAGGATGCAGGGCTGGTTCAACGTTCAAAAGACCATAAATACAATTAAATACATCAACAGATGTAAAGACAAAAACCACATGATTATATCATTAGATGTAGAAAGAACTCTTGATAAAATCCAGCACTCCTTCTTGATAAAAACCCTCGAACATCTAGGAATAGGTGGGACATACCTCAAAATAGTAAGAGCCATCTATGAGAAACCCACAGCCAACATACTGCTAAACAGACAGAAACTAGAACCCTTTCCCCTGAAAATTGGAGCAAGACAAGGATGCGCACTCTCACCCCTCCTTTTCAACATAGTTTTGGAAGTCCTAGCTAGAGCAATCAGACAAGAGAAGAAAATCGGGGTATCCAAATAGGAAAAGAAGAAGTCAGGTTATCTCTCTTTGCAGATGGTATGATGCTATACCTTGAAAACTCAAGAGAATCTGTCAAAAGCCTCCTTGCACTGATAAAGGACTTTGGCAAAGTCTCAGGAAAGACAACCGCATTTCTATACACCAGCAATAAACAAACAGAAAACCAAATAGAAAGCACAATCCATTCACAATAGCCACAAAGAAAATCAAATACCTTGGCATCTTCCTAACCAGAGACGTGAAAGACCTTTACAACAGGAACTACAAAACACTGCTCAAATAAATCAAAGATGACACAAACAAATGGAAAAATATTCCAGGTTCATGAATTGGAAAAATCAACATGTCCATCCTACCAAGATGTCCATCCTACCAAGGTAATCTACAGGTTTAGTACAATACCCATTAAATTACCAGCAGCATTCTTCTCAGACATGGAAAGGACAATACAGGAATTCATATGGAAACATATATGATCACGAATAGCTGAAACAATCTTCAGAGGAAAAAAAAAAATAAGCAGGAATTATCACACTCCCAGACTTTAAACTTTTTTTATAAAGCTACAATAATCAACACAGTCTGATATTGGAACAAGAACAGACATATAGACCAATGGAATAGGATAGAGATTCCAGAAACAAAACCTCAATTTTTCAACCAACTCATCTTTGACAAAGCTTCCACCACGAACCACTGGGAAGAGGAGAACATATTCAGTAAATGGTGTGAGAAAACTGGCTGACCACATGCAGAAGATTAAAACAAGATCCCAGGCCGGGCTTTGTGGCTCAGCCTGTATTCCTAGCGCTTTGGGAGGCCGAGGTGAGTGGATTGCCTGAGACCGCGGATTTAAGACCCGCCTGGGCAACTTGGCGAGACCTCATCTCTATAATAATCAAAAATTAGCCTGGAGTGATAGCCCACACCTGTAGTTCTGGCTACTTGGAAGGCTGAGACGGAAGGATCGCCAGAGACCAGCAGGTCGAGGCTGTGATGGCCAGGAGCATGCCACTGCACTCCAGTCTAGGTGACAGAGTGAAACTCCAACTCAAAAAAAAAAAAAAAAGACCCCTATCTATCACCATGCACAAAAACCAACTCTAAGTGGATCAAAGACCTAAATGTAAAACCTCACATTATAAGAACATCAGAAAATGCAGGAGACACCCTTATGGACGTTGGAACAGGCAATCAATTCCTGATGAAAACCCCAAGTACCCAGGTCATAAGAGATAAAATAGACAAATGGGTGGTGCCTTATCAAACTTACAAGCTTCTGCAAAGCCAAGAAACCATCAAGAAAGCAGGAAGACAGCCCACAGACTGGGGGAAAATATTTTCCAACTGTATGTCTGACAAAGGCCTAACATCTAGGATTTACAAGGAACTCAAACGTGTCAAAAAGAAAAAAAAACAAACAGTCCCATTACAAAATGGGCAAAATATATGAATAGACACTTCTCAAAAGAAGACACACGAGCAGCCAACAGATACATGAAAAAATGCTCAGCCTCACTAGTCATCAAAGAAATGCAAATTAAAACTACACTGAGATACTACCTAACTCCAGTCAGGATGGCCATCATCAATAACTCAAAAACCAACACATGCTGGAGAGGATGTGGCGAAAAGGGAATACTTCTATACTGTTGGTGGGAGTACAGCCTCTGTGGAAAACAGTGTGGTGATTTCTAAAAGACCTAAAAATTGTCCTTCCATACAACTCTGCAATCCCCCTACTGGGAATATACCCAGAGGAACTCAAATCGCTCTATGAAAAAGATACCTGCATACAAAATGTTTATTGCAGCATTGCTCACAATAGCAAAACATGGAACCAACCTTGCTGCCCACTGAAAGAGGACAGGATTTTTAAAAATGTGGTACATATACATGATGGAATATTATGCAACCAAAAAGAAGGACAAAATCATGAACCTCACAGCAATCTGGATCAACTTAGAGTCTATGATACTAAGCAGTCTATCACAGAAACAAAGAACTGAGTATCACATGTTCTTACTCATAAGTGGACCTTGAACAATTACCATAATACTACAAGATAAGTATTTTCAGTAGTAGGAAATTGCCGGGGGGGGGGCGGTGGTGGGGAGAATTGGCAGTAGTGGGATTCTGCCAGGGTGGGAGGCACATCTCATTAACAAGGGTACCTGAATACTGAACATTTGCATATTTCACCCTGAATTGTACCCCACATCTTTAAAATAAAAAATTTAAAAATAAATTAAAAAGTAAGAAAATCAAAGTATTTTATGACTCTGTAAAGGCATCTCTTGGGGATCCCTCAACTCTGAGCACCCTTTAAGATACTTACCTATTCTCTCTGAGGTTTGCCATCTATAAGGCTTCATCTATATATCAAGAAACTTGGAGATTTTCTGCCTCCTTATCTCAACAGGACATCTCGTCTACTTATTTCAAATTCCTTAGATAGGAACTACAAATTACCAGTTTGGAAATCTTTGAATCTACCTATAATTTGCACGCTCCCACTTGGGAGATGCCCTGCCTTCCTGGACCAAACCAATGTAAATCCCACATGTATTGATTTATGGTTTTCTTGCAACTTCTGTACTCCTGAAATGTTCATAAACAAGCTGCCATTGAACCATGATGGGCACATGTTCTCAGGACCTACTGGGAATGGGTGTCATGGACCTAGGTCACTCACATTTGGCTCAGAATAAACCATCTTAAATATTTTATAGTTTGGTATCTTTTGTCAACACTAGGTTAGATGTAGAAATTACCTGGTCCCTTCCAGAACCAAATTTCTGGCATTCTCTGCAGGTCTCACCCTCAGGGTGTACTCACTCCACCCCATGGCTCCTGAGGATCCCACACCAAGGTGAAGCAGCACTTTCCCTCTCTACAGTAATAGTTTCCTTTTCTGTCCTTCTCACTAGGCTAGAGTGTTATTTCTGAGAAAGGCCTAACATCTAGGATTTAGAAGGAACTCAAACTCAAGGATTCACTGACACATGGATGCACAAATCAATGTTCAGTCATGAGGAGACACAGGGAATGTATTTTTCCATCTTTAGGATCTGAAAGGAAATATCTTCCTGTCTCCATCACCTCAAGCTATAAGTTAAATTTTCCGTCACCTTAAACTATAAGAACCTTAGAAAATGCAGGAGACACCCTTATGGAAATTGGAACTGGCAACCAATTCCTGATCAAAACCCCAAGTGCCCATGCCATATGAGATAAGATAGACAAGGGGGACCTCATCAAACTGACAAGTTCTGCAAAGTCAATGAAACCATCAAGAAAGTGGGAAGACAGCCCACAGACTGGAAAAAAATATTTGTCAACTGTATGTCTGACCAAAGGCCTAACATCTAGGATCTACAAGGAACTAAAACGTGCCAAAACAGACA